AGACAAGATTTCCTAGAAAGGGAGATTCTTAGCACCTCTCCTCCCATTTTCTGCCACTGGGAGGAGATATAGGGAGGAGTCTCCAAGGGAGGGGTGGTGTGGAGGGAATCAGCAGCCGTAGGTGAAGTGGGGAATGGAATACGCATTTATATGGCACCTACTATGTGCCAGGCACCGAGCTAGGTGCTTTTTACAAATATGATCTCATTTGAGTGCTGATAGGACATCCCATTGGAAGTGTCCAAGTGTAGAGAGGCAGCTACATCGTACAGCAGATACAACACTGAACTTGGTGCCTAGAAGACCTGGGTTCTAATCCTGCCTCCTACACTTACTGACAACCCTAGAGAAATCACTTCATCTCTCTTGACCTCACTTTGCTGATCTGTATTATGGGCTTACCTACCTCATAGGGTTGTCAAGAGGATAAAATGAGAGATTTATAAAGTACTAGATAAATGCTATTATTAGAAATAATTATTGCTATTCCCTCCCCTCTTCTGTGGAGGACCACAGAGGAGCCTGAATGTGCCAACATTCCAGGGGGATTTGGATGGGACCCATCCCCCAAGGCACCCTGGAACCCACTTACTTCCCTGGCCTCCCTCACTTCCCCCACCTGCCTTCTGAGTTCCTGCCATGCGTGAACTTGCGGCCCCTTGGGCCAGTTTGCAGACACAGGCTGGTGTTAGAAATAGCCATGCATGTGTTTGGGGTTGGCTGATCTGGGCTCTCCTGCTCACAGTATGCAGTGGCCCTCTGGAGAACCTTGGGCATGAAATCTGACTCTGCCCCAATGAGCGATGCATGGATGAGTCATCTAACTTTCTGGGCCTCAAGACAGTCCAACCCTATGAGTCTATTATTAAGATAATAATCTCACTGATGTTATCATTTATTATCATAATATTATTAAAAGATAGTCCAGGAAGTCATTCCCAGTTCCAGACCGTCTTGCAGAGGGTACTAAGGTTTACAAAGTGCTTTCCTCACAGACCCTCCATGGGCAAGAATCGTTCCCATTTTACAGATGAAAAAACAGAGCCTAAGAAGTGACCAGCCCAGAGTAACCACTCCAAAGGCAGTGATCCTTGCAGCATGCAAGAAGGATGCTGCCTCTCCTGAAAGTGTAGGACGCTTGCTGGCCGCCCCCCTTGGCCCTCAGATGGCGCAGAACGACGACAGCCTCATTTCACTTCAGTCCCCTGGAATCATGAGGAACCTTCAGGATTCACTAGAACCAAATGAAGGTTCCCTGGTCTCTCAGGGGTGAGGGTAAAATGCCAAGCTCGAAGCTCAGGCCACACAAGGAGGGACAGAGCAGGCCGTCTCTCAGCTGTCCCCAGTCACACGTTCACTGCTTTTCCTAGGATACCAAGTCTTTCAAAGTGAAATCTTCCCTCCTCGCCCTCCCACCACAGGGCAGCCCTTAGGTCTCCAGGGACTGGGGGGAGGGGCAGAGGGAGGGGGAGGGGAGGGCAGGCCATGTCAGATGAAGCTGCAGACCTCTCCCAGACCTGTTTTCCACCTGTCACCCTGGCAACGGTGGAGAGAGGCCAGCACATGAGGATTAACCCTTCCTGGAACTCCCATCTAGGCGTTGTGGTAGGGAACACTGAATTTCACTGCTTTCTCCAAGTCATTGCACCTCTGGAGAGCACTATTATCCAAGAGATATCTAAGGAGATCCATTATCCGTGAGCAAACCCAAGGGTCCGATCACTCATCAAGCAAATGTTCTTTCAAGCGATGGGAATGAATAGGCATTTCTAGCAGGAAGGGAGCTTAGAGACCATCTGTTCCATCCATCTCATTACAGAGAGGTTGGGCTTGTCCAGTCACCCAGATGGTAACTGGCAGTCAGAATTCACTCCCAGGGCCTCTGACTTTCACACGTGGGAGGCAGAACAAGGCAGGTCCCAAACGTGCCTGACCTTTCTGATGCCCGGGAAGGAAGGCAGTCGGGCAGTCTGTGAAGCCAGACCAGGGAAGTGGGCTCCAGTGCCCTACCCCCCAGAACCCTAAGGAACGACCCTACAAGAACCCCCAGTGAAATGCTAGCCCTGTTTGGGTTCCCCCGTGTCCCTGCAGGGCTGGGGCCAGGCAGAGAACATCTCAGCACATGCCAGACACTGCTTCCCCTCCCACATCAGCCCCCTTAGTCTTTTCTCTTTCTGCAGTCCTTGTCTTAAGTCCTTCCACGTCGATGCCTCCCTCATGGCCATGCCAACTGAGGGCCAGCTCTGTCTGCCAAGTTCTACCATCCTTGAGAGGCTCTGGGTACTAAGGTCCCTGGGAAAGACCACACGACTACTGCCTGAGGGCCAGTGTGGGTAAGGAAGCTCATCTCCAGGAAGTCAGTGACCCGGGGGTCAGGGCACCTTGCAAAGTAACAAAGACCCCCACCATGGCTCTTGGTCCTGAGAGGCCTCCCTCTTCTGCGCCCACAAGGCAGAAACGAAAATGCCTTTCAACATTAATTGGCCGCATCCTGAAGGTGAGATCTTTTGTCCACAGAATTAACCCTTCCTGCTCTAGACCCCAGCTCCTCCAATTCGTTTTGAATTTCATTTTTTTTTAAGCATCCCTTCCTTTCTTTTTTCTTCAATTTCCTATTGTTTTCATGCGAATCCACCTCCCTCTCTCGTAACAGAAAAACTGAAGAAAAACCAACCAGCACAACGACCTGGGGTCTCATTGTTGTCTGGGGCCAAGATGAATCACCACAGAGCTGAGCAGAGCCCTTCAGCGCTGCCGCCAACATCATCCCTGGAGTCACCGCATCATGTTCTCCTGACTCTGCTTTCTCCATCAGGTCTGGTAAGTCTTCCTACGCCTCTCTGCATTCCTCGTATGATTTAAATAATTATGCTTTAATGTCTGCCACGCTTATGCCTCACAACTACCCTTAAAGGAATGGAGTACAAATACCATTATTCCCATTGGAGAGAGGAGGAAGGCGTCTAGTCCTAACTACAAGTCTGGCGCCCTGCACTCTGAGAATGACGGAAACAGTCTACCGATATTTTAGCGAAGGATCTAACCTAGTGCGTCGAGAGGCTATCCTCATAAACAAGCCAGAGAGGTGACCTAGGTGGAGGACAGCAGGTGGACTCAAAATAGGGTGAATGAGTAGTAGTTATTAATGGAAGAGGTGTGAAGGCGTGCCCCAAGGACCTGATCCTCAGCTTCAGGACCACTTAACATTTTCATTAGTGACTTAGATGAGGGCATATGGATCAAATTTGCAGATGACAGAAAGCCAGAAGGGATAGCTAACATTGTTACAGAGATGGTCAGGACCCAGGAAGATCTATAACCTACAAGGGTTGACCAAATCAAATAAGATAAAATTGGGTAAGAAATGTCAAATCCTGAATTTGAGTTAAAAAAGAAATCAACTTCACAAGTATGAGATATGTGGGAGGCAGGGCTGGACGAGACTATCTGGGGCCCGGTGGGCTTCAAGCTAATGCCATCTTGCGGCCTTGTGAACAGTGTTAGTCAGAGGACTGGGGGCAAGATGGCGATCCACCTTCAAGTCTCTGAACGGGCTTCCTGTGACAGAGGTCAGAGCTCCGTTCTGCCCAGACCCAGGGGAGGGCGGAAGTGGAAGCAGGGGACAGATGTCAGACACAGGTTTAGGACTGATGTAAAAACTTCCTAACGATCAGAATGACCCGTGAGTGGAATGACTTACCTCGAAGTGGTGGCTTTCCCCTCAATAGAGGTCAAGCAAAAGCTAAGTTCAAAGGATCATAGAATGACAGACTGAGGAGCTGAAAAGGACCGGACAGCCCATCAAGTCCAACCCCCGCTTTACTGAGGAAACTGAGGCAGAGAGAAGATAGATGACGTATCCGGAGTCATCCAGCTAGTAAGAGTTTTGAAGCAGTATTTCAATCCAAGACGTCCCAACTTCACATCCAGAGCCCTACCCACTACATCTTGTTGCCTCCAATGGACCTCACTGGAGAACCCTTCTCATTCTGAGTCTAGAATACTCCAAATATCACGAATACTTCAAGGGCAAGGTCAGAAAACGGTGGACATCGGGAGCATGGAACACTACAAAAAAACGAAACTGACTATTGCTTGACAGGAAATGACTGGTAATTAAAGATGGAGCCATTTCTAAATCAGAGAATGAAGTCAGAGAGCGGAAGGTAGAGGCTAACACCAATTTAGAAAAAAAGGACAAAAATGAGATGAGAACACATCAATCCAGATACTGATGCTCCCAAATAGGAAATGGATAGAGTGACTCTGAGGACCACCTTTTGTAGAGAAAGTTGAGCTGACGCAAAGCTGTCAAGGCCCCCAAAGCTTTTCTGCCAGCAAATGCTTGATCTGGTAAAGCAGAAAGACAAAGGCAACGCTGTCCTCATTCATTTGAAAAACATCACAGGGCAAGGCTCTACAGCTACAGGGCTTTGCAAAGTAGCCAAAGGCCATGGAGTGAAAAGGAACCTGTGGAAAGCTTGACATGAGATTCAATCAAGTCAGATTATCTAAAGGCCACTTATAGATGAAAATGGAAGGAAAACAAATGGATGGAAAGATCTGCTAGCATTCCTATGGCCACCTACTTTCTTCACTGGGGAGAATGGAAAAACATTTGAACTCAAAAACTTGGGCCCCAATGTATGAAACACAAAAAGGTAATTAAGCAGATAGGCTAAAATGGCCAACTAGGCCAGACCGAGGACAGATTGGAGGACGGGCTAATTGAAAGGCATGGACGGACTGATCTGCAGCATAGAACCAACCAACCCAAATGCCTCTAAAAGCGAGCCCCAAGACACGGCAGCCACAAGGACCTAAGAGAGGACTGCTTCAAAGCACGCTCAGTCCTCTCTGTAAAACCTTTTTGAGAATGAACTAAACACATTACACATATCGGGTATCCCAGGTGAACCGATGAGCAGGGCACAGGCAGGTTTGGGCCGCACTTTCTACAACAGACCCCATCTTGTCAGTCACACCACCGACAGAAGGTAGACAAGATAATCCTGCTGTTTATTGTTTGATTTTGTAAGAATGTTTGACTCCATGCAGAAAAACACTGCCAAGAAGGCATCTCCTTGGCACATGTTAAGATGCGATCACTTTGCTTAGTCATCATCTGATTACCAGCGTTGAGGAAGGCATGGCGGATGGTGCTCATCAAGGGTCGGCCACCGTCACGGACGATGAGCTCATTGCCAGGGTCTTGGCTGCAGTTGTGACGATGGCATCAGCCCTCTAAGCCCACAGAACATCTTCCAGGATGAAGAATGACTATTGTCCAGACAATGACACGCCCCTGGACAGACAGTCCACTGCATCAGACCATGGATACATCTGTTTGGATGGCCACTGCAGAGAAATAATGAACTTAACCCCACGTGAAGTAGGAGAAAAAGAACAGGCTGAATTGTGCAGGGATTTCAGCCGTCTCTGGCTGCTAACAGAAAACCCTACCCTTTGAACAGCTAAGTGGTGCAGTTGGTAGAGTGCTGGGCCAACAGTCAGGAAAACCTGAGCTCAAAGCCAGCCTCAGACACTTACTAGTTGTGTGACCCAAGTCATTTGACCCTGTTTGCCTCAGTTTCCTTACCTGGAAAACGAGTTGGAGAAGGAAATGGTAAACCATTCCAGTATCATTGCCAAGAAAACCTCAAATGGGGTCACAAAGAGTTGGACACGACAGAATAACTACTGAAGTGACCATTTTAACAGCAACATTCCGCTGCCGCTGCAGGGCTGTGCACTGTGGGACAGGGCAAGTCCAATGGAGAGGTGCTGGGAGGTGTCAGAAGGCCACGATATGTTGCCAACAGATTTACATATACCAAGTGGCCTAAAAAATATGACTGAGGGAATGGATGACTAGGAAAAGGGAGCTAGTCACAAGGCAAGAATGACAGAGACAGATCAAGGGCTGTGCTGGACCCATGACAAGACCACGAAGAAAGTGCCCACAGCCATGCAGTGGCACAGCCACAAGGCCGAGAGGCCGAGTCTAGCCAGGCTCACAGGGCCATCCAGCAAGAACGGCGCAAAGATGTGGGAGATGCCTCTGACCCCTTCCACATTCGTTAGACTTCTGAAACACATCCCATGCCGCTTGGTCCCCCGGGCGCTGCTTTCTATACCTTTGAATCTAATTTCATTTAATTTCAGCTCTTCCTTTTAAAGTCTGATTCCAAAGCCACCTTTTCCCACAAAGCCCTTAGAGCCTGCGATCTGGGAGAATCTCCATCCTTTGAGCCTTACCACTCACCCTCTTCTCTTGGGGGCCTCTCCTGGCAATGAGCACGAAGGCAAGAAACCCTCAGAGGGTCCAGGGACTACCCTTGGTCCTCTTCCCCAGTGAAGCAGCAGCTCTGAGACAGGAGTAGTAAGGACTCCCCAAGACCTGGAAAGTGTCCCCAGAAAAGGCTGGGAGACTTCTGATCTCTGAAGACTGACTGGGGGCCACTGACCTTGAGGAGCTTTTAGCAATCAACTGACTCCTGGCCCGTCAAGCAGAGAAGACACTGGCTCCAGGCACGGGGTTGGCCCCATGTCAGTCCTGTGGCTGACCTAAGCAACGCCAGGGAGCCACAAGGCTGAAGGCACACGGTGAGGTAGGCTCGTCATAGAGTAAAACAAACCAATGTCGAAACAGTAAAAAGGAAAAAAGGAGAGTGGAAAAAAAATCAAGACAGGTTTCTCTTGGGCCTGCATCATACGTGCCTGCCCTGAACCCATGACCAAAGCCTCAGGCATTCCCAGAAGAGTCCTCCACGTTGTCAGGAGGGATGAAGCTCCGCAGCCAGCCCGGCTGCAAAGTCTGACCCCAGTGCCAGCAGCACCTCCGACAGAAAGCTGTTCTCGCCGCTCCGTGGCAGACTCCGTGCCCAGCTCTCGATGGCACCTGTGCTCAGAGAAAGGGCACAGGGCCAAGCCGGAGAGGAACTGACCCATGAGGAGTGGCCAGCCCTTGGTCAGTACTTCCTCTCCTTGACAAATGTCCCCTACAGGTTGTCCATGCAGAACCACCCCCCTTCTGCTCCATCCCCAACGTGTAGGAGTGAAGCAGACCGACGTCCGGGCCTAGAACAAGATTCTCCATGCCACCTTGCGTCATGTGATTAACTGTCCCCCCAGACTCAAGCCAGCCCACACAGACACAAAGGCACCTCAGGGCAGCCTGCCAGCCAGCCGGACTCTTTATGTAGTTCAACAGACAGTGAATGATGGCGGTGAGGAAGGGAGGCTGCGCATCCTCCTTGCCTGTGAGTGGCAGAGGCTGCAGCCCAGGACAGCCCGGGGGGGGGGGGGGCAGCTTCACTTTTTGACAATCTGAATGACATCTTCGTCTTCTAACGTGTGGTCCTTCCCCACCTTCTGGGGGTTGTGCTTCACGGACAGACCCCAGACCAGGGCACTGGGGAGGGAGAGAGAGAAAAGGATCAGCAGGGGAGGGTCTCCTCCCCATCCTCAGAGTCAAGGCTGGACATCCTGCCTGGGGCAGGTCAGGCTCTGCTGAGCCTACAAGATGACGTGATCACATCTGCAGGGTGGCCACGGGGATGAAATGAGGTAAGGGCAGCACTTCTACAAGCCTTAAAACACTCGTTTTTTAGAAAGGCAATGTGGGGCGGGGGCACAGGACGAGCTGGCCTCAAGCAGCAGGTCTGCTGCTTACTTCCTGTGTGACCCTGGCAAAACTGTTCAACCCCTCTGGCCGAGAGGACTGTCTAAGGCCCCCTGCAGTGCCAGGTTACAAGCCACAAGCATTTCCCAGGTGCGTGGCCTTGGGAAGGTCACTCAGCCTCTGAAATTGGGAGAAGTCATGTGTGTAGTACAACCTTCAGAGTCATTAGTCCAAGGTCCCTATTTCACAGATGAGGAAGGGCCACCTGTGCCCAAGCTGGTGGAGCTAAGCTGAGGAAAAGTGGGGATGTGGATGAGCAATCCTGACTCCCAGCCCCACCGGGTCTCCTCCCATGTCACTATGGGCACACGCCCTGACCAGGATGGACCCCCTGCTGCCCTCAGACAAGCAGGGGGACGAAGCAGCAGGACACAATGATAGCCGAGGATACACACAAGGGAAAGGGAGGGCCACAGGCCAGGCTCGGCTGGGCCGCCCCACCCCCGCCCCCCTGCCCTGCCCAGACAAGGCCCCACCGCACCCAGGACTCACTACTTGAACTCTTTGATGAGGTTCTTGTGGATTTTCATGCAGAAGTCCTCCACGGTGGTCCGAGAGTCGGGCAACACCACGGGGGAGGTGTAGTCCGGCAGCTGCCCTTTGGGCTTGGTGTAGCTAGGACACAGGGAGCAGACATTATCTGGAGTCTCCCCACGGGGCTCCCCAGCCTCGGGCCGTTGGCCGGCCGCGGGCGCCTGCACCCACCTGCACCCACGCGGGGGACACTCACATCCTCACGAGCCGCAGGTAGTCCCAGATCCTCTCGAGCAGGTCATCGAAGTTCCAGCGGTGGTGGGCAGAGATGGGCACGCAGTGAGGCACCTTGTAGATGATGTCGAGCTCCTCAATGGAAATCTGGTCGATTTTGTTCAGCACGTAGATGCAGGGGATGTACACTCTGAGGGAGAGTCAGGGAGGGCGGTCAATGCCTGCAGCAGGGCCTTGCATGCGCAGAGAGAACGCTCCCCTCATTCCCATCACACACCAAGAACCTCCTTCAACGCTGACCAAAGCCCAAGCCAGCAAAGCAGATGTGGGGGGTCCTGAGAAAGGAAGCCTGGGTGCAGGCACAGGGCCCGGGTTCTGGTCCAGGGTCAGCCACCAGTTGGCTACGTGGCCTTCACCAAGTGGGCCACATGAAAAGGGCTTCTGGAATGTCCGGTGTAGAGGCTGCAGTAATCCCTCGGACTCCCAGCACTTCTCAGCTGTAGGTGACCCATCAGGTGACCCCACTAAGAGCGAAATCTGGACACAGCACTGACTGTGGTTGGGGTGGGGTGAGGCGCCTCAGAGACAGTGAACAGAGCCAGACAGCTCCCTGCTGAGCCCCCTCATGGAGAATCACAGGATCCAGGAGCTGGGGGGACTTTTAAGGACATTTAGTCCCAGAGTACCTTCTGCAACATCCCTAGCCAGCCTCTACTTGAAGACGTCCAATGACAGGGAGCTCCCTACCTCACAAAGCAGCCAATTCCCTTTGGGAGTAGCTCTCAGCATTAGCAAATTCTCCCAACACTGAGTCTAAATCTGCCTCCTTGCCATGTCCACCCCCTACCCTTCCTTTGCTCTTAGGGGGCCACAGCCTCTTCCACACTGAGAGCCACTCACATACTCAACAGTTGTCCTGTCCTCTCCACAGCTCCCTCCACGACCCACAGGTGTGGACATGAGGCCCTTCACACATGCTGGAGGCCCTCCTCTGGAGGCCTGTTCTAGAATGTGGTTACCCAACCATTCCAGATGGCGCCTGGACAGGGCAGAAATCCTGAGACCCCACCTCTCTCTAGGCAGCCCATGTCCCACTGGCTTTTCTGAGAGTTTGGACTTCATTAAAACCCCATATGTCATCCAAATTATGTCCTACCTGAGACTGCCCCAATTAAGTCCTGTTTTACTAGATTCAGCCCAACGCTCTACCGCAACAACACCTTTTAGGATCTCGATGGGCTGAAGTGGTGGGCCCAATTTTAATAGATGATGTTTGATGAGGTTAAATGTAAAGGTCTAATGTGTGGGTTCAAAACATCAATGTCACAAGCACAAAACAAGGGGAGGTGTGGCTGGAGAACAATTTGTCCAAAAAATATGGGGGTTTTGATGGGCTGTGAATCTGCTGGTCAGCCTCCATTTGGAGTCCTGTCTAAGCTGGAGAGCACCCAGAAGATGCCAACCAGACAGTGAATGGCCCCAAGAGCTCAGCCTAGGAGGAATGGCTGAAAGAACTGAGGATGCTTAGTTTGGAGAAAAGGCTTAGAGGGGAGGTAGCTGTTCTCAAGTCCTTGAAGGGCTGTCTTGTCATGTAGAAGAGACTCATTTATCTTGGCCCCAGAGGCCAGAGGTGGAAGCTGAAAGAGGCACACTGAGGCTGGAGGTCAGCAAAACGTGGCTAACAGTGAGCTTGGCACACTTGGCACAGAGAAGGCACTCAGTATTTCCTAAATGAGCTAACAAATCAAAGAGGCCCATGCCTCAGGAGCTGATGAGCTCCCCAAATTGCAGAAGGTCCTCGAGCAGAGGCAGATTAAGGGAAACTCTCAGGCACGGGCCTGACGAGGGATTGTGAGGACTGTCCCCCTCCAGGACGAAGCAACCATGAGCTCCCTCTAGATCCGGACTCAGCGGTCCAACCTAGGAGCTCCTTCCAAACCTGGTGTCACTTTCAAATCTGACAAGCATGCCACTTATGAATTCTGTGCCCACGGTAGTGATCAAAATTTTGGAGAGGGGCAGACCCCGACGGTCTTCTACTACTGGAAACCTCCCTCAACTCTGAAGGAGGCTCATCAGCTCTCTTTTATGAAGGAAAACCGGGAGACCCACAGAGAAGCTCGAGGCAGCAGAGGCAATGCATGGTCAAGAGCCCTGGCATGGGCTCTACCCACCTCTGGGCCCCTCGGTCCCTACCTGTTGCCCTCCACCACGTCAATGAGGTCGTCGGCTGTGGCGTCACTGCGCAAGGTCACGTCGGCGTTGTGGATTTTGTATTCTGCCAGGATGCTCTTCACAGTCTCGGCATCCAGCTCACTCTGAGGGCACTGAATAAACCAAGAGGGCACTGAGCAGAGGGTGAGCCGACCCCTCCCTGCCCTCATCCTCCCCCAGGCAATCAATCAATCAATCGATCAATCTCTTTTTTCTTTCTCCTCTCCTCTCTTTCTCTTGTCTTGTCCAACACAGCTTTGCTCTTAAAGTTCAGGAGACCACCTGTCATGAATGAGATGCACTTTTTGGGACAAATGTGGGAATCTATTTTGCCTGACTATATGGTTACAAGGGCTTTGTTTTGTTTTGTTTTTCAGGAGATTTGAAAGGAAGGTGGGAGGGAGAGAAAATAAGTATTTGTTAATTTAAAAAAACAGCCTAGTCCAAAAACAAAAACAAAACCTGAACCTATCCACACGTGCCAAAAAATTCTCAGCAGTACTTTGGGGTTTTGTGTTTTTATTTTTGGTAGCATTTTTTATAATAGCAAAAACAAAACAAACAAAAAAAACCCACCAAAACAAAACAAAAAACCCAAAAATTAACTGGTGAAAAATGAAATAATTAAACCTTTAAAAAATAAACATTCAGGTCAATTGTGGTAAAATATCACATGGCACTAGCTGTGTTTTAAAAATTGTAAGTGTTACCGTTTCCAGGAAATATGTGTGCATTCTCACAGGGAATCCTTAGGAAAAAAAAAAAAAGACTTTAAAAAACCCCCCAAAAACTGGATGTAAGTATTTTAAAGGGTCACACCATCATTTAAGAAATTAGAGAAAAATGGATAAAAGTGTATCTTTTACAACTATGGCTGGGGTAGAATTCTTAATCTAACAAAACATCGAAAATATCACAAAAAAATAAAACACACTACTGATTACATTAATTTGAAAAGCTTTCTCATGAACAGAATCAATACAAACAGAATTAAGCAGAGAGAGCATCCACGGGTAAAAAAGAATTTGCATGAAACACCTCTGAAGCGGCCCTGGCAGCCAAGAAAGAGAGGGAATGAATGTGACTACCTAAGAGCGAAAAGCAGCCCGACTGGACGGGGGCCTCCACAGAGGCGTTACAAACTGCTACAGACCACACAGATCACTAGGAACAGCAGAATTTAGCACACTCAGAACACTGGCAAGGCCAACAAAGAGGGCAGGAGCCCGTGCTGGCTGACAGTAAAGCGGTAAACTGGCCCAACCATTCTGGAAGGCAATCTGGAACTGTGCCCCGTGCCCTGGAGGTTCCCATCAGGCACCTGCTCCAAGGCAGTCATCCCTCCCCACAGACAGACAGAGTGAAAGGAAGTTGAATGCTCTGACAGCTAGTAAGTGTCAAGTATCTGAGGTGGAATTTGAACTCAGGTCCTCCTGACTCCAGGGCTGGTGCTCTACCCACTGTGCCACCTAGCTAGCCCCTCTGCAGTGAGTTCTGAGGAGCCTCATGGCCCTGGCCCTGGAGGAAAGACCTCTCCTCCATCACATGCAACTGATGTTTGGGGATCCTTCCTCTAAGGGAAGGATCTGGGCGCCTGGTGAAGGGAGGGCTCTACCTGGAAATTAATGAGATGTGACAACGAAGACAAGCCTGCGTGGAATCCAGGAGAAGGGCACAGGACCCATCAGATTTGCTGTCCCCCAGCATGCAGCTCCACCCATTAAGGGCTTCCATCGCCCACAAAACCTGATCAAAGCCTCACTCCCCTCAGATCCGACCAGTCATAAACTACCCCCTACCCTACTGCCTGACCTCTCTGAGCACCATCTGGGCATCTCTGGTGGCCCATTACACCCATCTCTGGGCTATCATTCTTAGGGCATGTCGTAGTCTCTCCCCCCACATTGAGGGCAAGGACTGGGCCTTATTCATGAGTGCTGCCCCCCAGGACCTTGGAAGTCACTGGTTCAGTGTGTTTAGTGTAACTTGTGGCTTTGCCAAGGTCAACACTTCAGCCTTTCCTGAAAGGACATATCAGATGGGCGACGGGCCGGCATGGGGCTGCTCACTCACCAGACCACTGCATTCTGGTCACTTCAATGCAAAAGCATTACTGAATCCCTACTATGTGCAGATACTGAGGACAGAGACAAAAACCAAATCGTTTTGCCCCCAAGGTGCTCAGGGAAGGAGGATACACAGGAAAGTCAACACAACGAGACTATGGTGGGGGAATCCCTGAAAGCTTCCTGGAGGAAGCGGTGCCTCAGCTAAGAGGAGGCAGGAGAGAGGGAAGGCGTCCCAGACCCCGGGAGGCCAAGGGCCGGTCCAGGAGGAAGACAGCCCCAGGCAGAGCCAGCAAGACTCACCGTGGCTGTGAGGTTGATGCCTCCTTTGTCCTTCTTCTTAAAGCCAATGTTGGGGGGCTTGCTGTTTAAGCGGATTCCGAAGCCCTCCAGCTCATTCTCAATGATCTTCTTATGGCCCAGGGGCTTTAGCACATCCAGGACGATTAGAATCAAGTTGCAGGTTCGGGCCACTGAAGATTGCGAGAGGAGCCCCACGTTAGCCGACTGTCCCCCTCGATCAGACCAGCCCGTGGCCCATCAGGCCCAGGACCCGCAGACGGGGGACGGGGGACTCACTGGGCACCAGGAACCCCGCCCCCACATTCAACCTCAACAAGGAGAATGAGGAAAATGATTGAACCAAACAAAATCGGCCAATGTCAGCAGGAAGCCCCTCGGACCTACACTGGCTGTGTGACCCTGGACAGCTCACTGCTCCTCTTTGCACCCAAGGCAGCCCTTGGTCCACACGGGGAGAGCCCAGGCCTGGCAAAGGCCTCCCTGAATTAATGAAAGTTTCCCCCAAGGCAGAGCCATGGCCAACGACAAGGGCTGACTAAAGAGGACTCTGGTAAACCACAAGGGCGGGCACTTAGTGGGAGCTTTACCTGACCTCACCTCCCGTGAGCCCCACAACAGCCCAAGAAGCTCTCCTCAGGGCATCACTGTCACCATCTGACACATGAGGAAACAAAGGCCCGTAGGGAGAAGGGCTGTGCGTCACCCTGGGTCACCAAGTGGTCCGAGGGGGAGCCCAGTGTTCAGCCCGTAACCCCAGGTTGGCCTTGCTGCTCCCCCCAGGAGCTGCAGGGTGAAAGGCCCCAGGAGGGAGGACCCATCGACACTGCTCCTCTTCTGTGGGATGGCGGCTTCGAGCACCCAGCGGAGGGGAGCATGCTGACTCTAGGGGGCCCCTCTGGTACCCAGTGGAGAGTAGCACACTGATCTGGGAGGCCCTCTCTGGCACCCAGTGGGGGTACATGCTGACTCTAGGGAGACCCCTCTGGCACACAGCAGAGGGGTGCATGCTGATTCTAGGGGGCCCCTCTGGTACCCAGTGGGGGGTACATGCTGACTCTAGGGGGCCCCTCTGGCACACAGAACAGGGGTACACACTGACTCTAGGGGGCCCCCTTTGGCACCCAGTGGAGGGGAGCACACTGATGTGGGGGGCCCCCTCTGGCACACAGCAGAGGGATGCATGCATGATGAGTAGTGCTGACCTAGCAGAATGTCACCAATTCAGAACAAGAGAGAGCTCCAGGCTCCAAGGGAGCCCAGCTCCAGAGGAAAAGTCAGGGTCCAACCTGTGCTGTCCAGCCAGCAGCTTCTGACCTGGCTTAACTGCTGCCCCCGGGGTCTGGATGACACCCTGAAGGGACACAAGCCAAACACTCTGACGACAGACCCTCGACTAGCTGGTGACATCAGTGAGTCTGTTCCTCTAAGGTCACAAGACATCAAAGGGACGGGGCTCTAGGCTCGGATCTGTCACAACCTTGCTGGGAGGTCAAGGGGAAGTCACTTAGCCTCTGTGGGCCTCAATCTGCCTTTTAGAATGAAGAGGTGGAGGTGACCCGGAGCTCCTGTCTGAAATTTTCTTCTGCACATAAAGTCACAGATGCTCCCATGGACCGAATTCACAGGATTCTGGAGTTAGAACTGAAAGGGGCCTCACATCCCACATATGAGAAGAGGGGGGCCTAGTGAGGGAAGGTGACTTGCCCAAAGGCATACAGCTTCCACACGGCGCAGGTCACCCGACCACGTTTTCTAACACAAAGGATGATTTCAACCCAAATAAACAATTCCTCTCACTCGGGTTCTGCGTCACATACCTGCAATGACCTGCCGGCCTCTCCCTTTCCCATCTTTGGCACCTTCGATGATACCTGGGAGATCCAGAAGCTGCCCGAAGGAAGGAGGGAAAAACAAATGATGAACAGAAGGGATCAGACAGAACAAGCGACTCCCTAAATTCCCTAGATCTCGGAGGGAGTGGGGGTGGGGGGTGTTGTCCTTCCTGGTCCTCTCTGCCGGGGCTACTTCTGAGATTCAAAAGCTGGAAATGCGGTCCAGGCCCAGGGGATGGGGAATGGCCGAACTGGATGTTATTACAATTATCTTCCTACAAAGATGTCAGAGAAACAAAGCGTGAACTGAAGCAGAGCAGGGCCAAGAGAACACGCCATCCAAGGCACGCCAATGCCGCATCTAAGTGACGCGAAGGGCAAATGGCGGCTGTGCGTCCTCACTAACGTTAGAGCGCCCACACATCCTCTGTGAGCGGAAAGCCACCTGCGCGTCACTTCTGAGGACTCACTTCTGAGGGCTTTGGCTGAACTGTTTTTCTGGAAAGGTTCTACGAGGAAGTTGATTATGAGAAAGCAAACGATGGGCCAAACACAACCAATCACCAAAAAACCAAGTGTGAACATCGTAGAACGCTCTTCTCTGAGAGCTGACCCCCCGCGTCAAAGAACAGATTCTGACGCTTTCTATTGCGGGACGGCACAGCCTGGGCCTGCGAATCCTCTGAGGCTGGCGACCCTGGGCTCGGGAGGACCCAGCCCTGAGGGCCAGGTTGGGGGCCGGAGGCCCTTCAGCAGCCTCGACTCCTGGGGGTGCACTCCGCCAGGCCCTGGCACCGTCAGGGCTCCCTTCGGGGCTAGCTCGAGTTGGCACTGCCTTTTAAAAGCTCACAGGCCCTCAACTGCTCTAGTCCTGAAGATGCAGCAGGTGTGGGGAAATGCCTCAGAAGTAGCGTGGGGATTAACCAGACTCTTTAGGGAGAGGCGGCAGGTTCTGGAGGCAGGGGGCTAGATCTGGAGAGAGGGCGACAGGGATTCAGACCTGACGACTGCCCCACGTCACAGAACACGGGAGGCTCAGCTCTGGCTTGCATAAGATGGGGTGACACACATGGTGCTTCTCCCCCAGGGTGGAGGGAGGCTCACAGTATGTAAAGCACCTGGCAGGCCTCAAGTGCTCAATGCATTAGCCTTCCCCCCACTTAATATATTTTTACTTATTTTGCTAGAGAGTTCCCAATTACACGTTAAAAAAAATAACATTCTTTTAAAAAAATTTTGAGCATCAAATTTTCTCCCTCCCGCCCCTTCCCCAGCCCTTGAAAAAGCAGGCCACATGCCATGGATCCTCCACACTAGCTACAGAGCCTCTGCGCTAGCTCTCATCACATGAGGCTCATGAGGGCACCAGGTGGAGAAGGCCAGAGAAGGCACCTGCTCCCATCACCAACAGTCCGAGCTGGGCCGACCTCTCGCCACCCAACCCTGCCACGCCAGCCTACTCCGCTTCCCAGCCTTCCTCGGGAGTGGGCAAACCAGGCCCTGGGGTCTGTTCCTCCATTCTCTGCCTTCCAGACTCTCTGCCTTGAGGGCACCTCAGGTGGGCCAAGGAAAGGGCAGGTCTGTCTTCAGATAACAGCAGCGTGCAGCCAACAATAGTTTCTGTGGAAATCTTCACACTCAGCCTTTTCTAAACCCAGACCAAACTCAATTCAACAAATTCTGTTTGGGTCCCAAGCTGACTTAAGTAAAAACAGGCCCATGGTGTTAGAAGGCAGGGGACCTGGCCAAAACTTCTAGTCTACAGTAAAAGCCCTGTGGATAAACTGCCACCTCTACACAAACATCCTCCAAATCAACCTATCTAGGTCTGTCCCCAGCCTGAGATTCTGTCCTCCATCTCCAACTGATCGCCAGTCTGCTATCTGCCCCTGGATGTCCCACGTGTCCCAAACACAGCTCCCCCTCCTCATTTCTGGTGAGGGGACCATCCTTCTCACACAGCCTGGCACACCCTCCCTCCCCACATCCAGTCAGTGGCTAGTCCCTGCTGACTTCCTCCCTGCCATCTGTCCTTGAATCCTGGCATTCAGTGCTTCTCTCCCAGACTCTGCAGGAGCCTCCACTCTAGTCTCCTGGCTACCTACGTGGTCTCAGTAAGGCACGAGCCTCACCCCCTGCTCAGCGGCTCCCCATTGCCGAATTTAGGACCAAATACAGGTTCCTCGGTTTGGCATTCAGAGCCTTTCACGGTCTGGCTCCAGGCTGATCATACGACAGTCCCCACCCCACACTTAGCACCCACCTGCAGTCCCCCAACATGACAATCGTGGACTGGCTGTCCCCCAGGTCAAGCCTCCCCTCTGCCTCTTGGAACCCATGAGCCTTCAAAGGTCAGCCTCAAAGCCCACTTCCTTCCAGAGGCCCTCCCTGATTCTACCGTTGCTAGCCCACTCCCCAATCCATGTGTTTATCCCCTTCTAGATGGTAAGGCTCTCAGATGCCTGTTGGCTCACTCCAAAGATGCCAACTCCCTGGCAAAGCATGCCTTCCCATGGGAGCCTTTCCCCATCCTGGTTGGTCATGCTCCCTCCTTCCCTCCCTGTGGGACTGAGCTGGCTGTGGGCTGCATCTGGGGAGAAGGCAAGCTCCCTGAGGGCAAAGAATTTTGGTCTCTTTCCTTCCTTGCTCTCCAGTGCTTAGCACATAGCAAGTACTGAATGAATGTTCACTGGACTGAATACAATCATTAATGCCGGAATATAAGATCAAGCTGCTTGATGCAGAAAGAGAAACGTCAATTCTGAACGGGTCACCTGGTTCAGTCTTCTTGACCCGAGCTCCCTGTTTCAGTTAAAGTGACCCCCTCAAGGTCCTTGAGGTGTGTCTAGAGGGGCCCTGGGTCGCCTTCTGCCTCTGCCCTCCTTCCTTGCAGGCCTGGCCGCCCTCACCATCCCTGCCTCCCCTAACGGAGCTCTTCCATCCCGCCATCATTCATGGGGTGCTTGCCCCACGCTGCCTCTCTTGAACCCAGGCCCCAAGTGTTACTCTGTACCTTTCCGTATCCCCCCAGAGCCTTGGCTCGAGGAGGCCTCGATAACTGTCTCCTGACCCCCCTCTCACTTCCCACCCATGATTCCCTCAGCCCCTCAGCCCCAGGAGGCAGCCGTCACAAACAGAATTCTCCCAGGCTCCAGGGAGGCCGAGGGTTGGGACGGCGGTACTTGGCCATGCAGGCAGGAAGGAGCCTGGGCTCTCAGCGCTGGCTCACCTGAATCTTAGCACCTTTGTACCTGATGACTCCGGGCACGGTGGTCAGAGTGGTGAACTCGTAGGCTGCCACTTCAGAATACACCCCGGCCAGGTTACTCAGCAACGTCGACTTCCCCACAGACGGGAACCCCACAAAGCCGATCCGAGCATCGCCAGTCTTGGCCACATCGAACCCTGAGACATGAACAAACACCAAACGAAGGAGACGCGTGAACAATGGCCAGGAATGCAGATTCTCCGTCAGTCTCCAGCTGCCTGTCCTCCCCAAACAGGAAGGCAGCCTGGGAAGCGAATTCGAGTTGTGACATTTACGCTTTCCCTCATCCCTTCTTTACGATACCAAACAGAACTCATGCCAATATAATGCCACACCTGGCCAAACAAGCTGTGTTTTCCTCTCACTTGTATTAAGTGCTTTCCAGACACCAAATTCTAAAGTATAAACTTTTCAGTATAAAGACCCCTTTCAAAGGTCAAATTTTTTTTCAGCCCCCCCCCCCCCCACCCGCTGTGCCATTCCTATCTAATGACTAAGAAAACAAGATGACAAAAACAACAGTATTTAGCGTCCACGAGAACTCACGGTGCCCCCCATGAACCACTCCCAAGGATGGCTCAAAATCCACAGGCGGGTAACTCCTGGGCTAAATATCCCAAACAGCCATGATCTATCTGGGCCACCTCTCCACCTCCTCATCCGGCAGACCACAAACACGTAAAGGACCCGGGCTGGAAAGCACACTGACCTTCTCCGGGGCCGCCGCCCCCGCCGCCCTTTGGGGTGATGAGCTCCCTCCGGAGCTTGGCCAGCCGGGCCTTCAGGAGCCCCAGGTGGTGCGCGGTGGCTTTGTTCTTCTGAGTCCGAGCCATCTGCAGGGAGACAGAGTCACGGGCATGAACGTTCCCATAGGTAAAACATCAGAAAAGCTACCTTAGAACAGAAGCCTGTATCCTAGGTCCTATTCACTTTACCCCTTTATCCCCACCCCTGCCTGACCCAAAAGACTAGGGTTAGAAGAGACACTCCTAGAATTTAAGTTCTGGCACGCCCTGAGTGACTGACAGAAGACCCTCAGAGGGTATAGGGACCCCACCACCTGCTAAGGCAGACCTTTCCTTCCTCTTGGGGCAGCTCTAAGCTTCAATGAGTTTTTCCGTTCGTTAAACCAATTCTGAGTTCTGCCTTGTGGAGCCAAGCTGAACCCCAATTCTACATGGCAGTCCTTCCAATACTTGACACAGGTCACCGCTGGCCACCCCTCTGGAGGTCATGGAGGCTCTGGGGCCTCATCCCCATGAATCTCCTGAAAGGGAGATCAAGGGCTACAGTAACATCTATGAAATACCAGGATTCCCTGGCCCAGGCACTTGTATCAACAGGGCCCCCCAGCTGTTCTCTGGGGTCACTGTTAAGTCCCCCGATTTTAGGACTCTCGAAGGTGAAATGGGTTTCCCCGCTGCGCGCCAAGAGGCAAGGGATTTGCCTTTTTTTTTTTTTTTACTTTTCAACACATTTTATATTTAGTTTATTTCACACACGTTAAGATACAGTTTCTATCGCTCTTCAATGAACATAGTCTTCTATTTGTATCTCCACAATTAATCACAGCACTTTCTACAAAGCGAACACTTTATTACTTTTTTCATTGAGTATGGGTTGGAAAAGAGCCTTGGAGGATTCTTCCCACTCTGAGATTTTCTGGCTTTGTAAACAGACTTTATTTTTTCTTGCTGTGCCTATATTAGGTCATCAACATGCTAACGGGTCCCCCACGTCAGGGCCCCGGCCTTCGCTGAGAAGGAAAGTCAGCCCCAAAGCTGGCCATGAGCCGGTCGGGGATCCCTGGCTCCAAAGGAAAGTGTCGTTGTCGTGGCTGTCGCTGCCGTTGTTGTTTCCCTGCATGAACTTTTTTTTTTTTTTTCTTTTCTGGGGCAGAAGCTAAAGAGGTCCGGTAGAAGGTAGGAGCTTGTAAAGCTTCCTTTACCTTTTTTTTTTCCTTTTCCTTTTTTTTTAGCTTCTGCTTTTCTCATTTTCTCATTATTTTTCCCCAGTTACATGCCCAAAAGGGGGATTTCTGATGGGGGGCCCACGGACAGAGTCTCAGGCAGCACCCCGAGGCTGCGGGCCCCAGGAGCCAGAGGCTGCACCTCGGGATCCCTCTCCGCCCCGCCCCCGGCCTCAGTTTCCCCCCCGGAGCGGCCCGGTGGCTCGGGGCCTGCAGGGAGAAGGCGGGGCCCGCATTTCTTACCTCGGCCTCGATTTCGGCGATCTTGGCTAAAGTGCCGCTCATGGTGTCGCCGCTCTCGGGCCTGCCCTGCCCTGCCCGACCCGGTCACGCCGCTCCACCGCCGCCGCCGCCGCCGCCACCACTAGCCGAGGACGGAGGAAGCACAGGCCGCGAGACGACAAGCCACTCTGCGCAAGCGCGGGCGCGGGCGCGGGCGCAGGCGCAGTCACAGCCCCGGCCAAGCGTCGCGAGAGCCAGAGCAGCGCGAGAACGATGCCGGAGCCCGAGGGCTTCTGGGAAGGAGCGAAGGAGGGAAGGAGTAAGGCCCGCCCCCTCTTTCTCCTCTCCCGCCCTCCTCTCTCGTGGGCGGCCCCTGAGCGGCCGCTGGGTCCTAGAGAGCGCCAGGTTGCCCAGCCACGCCACAGTACCCTCCGCCCTCACCCCACAAACACACGTATACACACATTTACATGCGTTCCCACGTGTGTCCATATTATAGGATCCTGGATCTAGAGCTGTAAGGGACCCTCATTTTACAGGGAGGAAACTGAGGGCCACACACACACACACACACACACACACACGCACGCACGCAGATCCCATTCATGCCTATATAGACGCACATACACACTCACGCGCACACACGCAGCCGCAGAGCGCACGCGGGCACATGCGTATGCCGACCTCAGTTTACTCATCTGTAAAATGGGGAGGAGAATAGCACCTACCTCCCAGCCACGCTCTGAGGGTCAAATGAGACAGTGTGCCTCATGCAGTTTGCAAACCTTGGGGGGGCCATACGAATGTTAGCTGTGATTGTGACGATCATCCACAAACCCACAGACACATTCATAAATACGCCATAATCCGGCAGGTAGATGCACCTGCGCACACACAGACACACAGACACAGCTTTGGAACTGGCAGGGATCTTTGAGGAAAAGTAGTCAAGTGACCTGTCTAAGGTCACACAGCTAACAAATGTTGGAGCTGGGATTCGAACTCGGGTCTTCCTGACTCCCTGCCCAGAGCCTTACCCGTTATACCAGTCTGACATTCATTAGCACACGGTGGCATTTCGGTGCAATTTTGACAAGCATTAAGCATCTGCAATATGCCAGGTCTGGCGCTGGTCCCTGACCAAGACATACACTCATAAACTTACAAACGCAATGATATGCAAATATACGTGTGTATACGCACAAGCACGTGGCATTCACACATGTCCCCAGACACAATAATACAAACACTCACGACATATGTGTCAGAACCCACAGGCACAAATGTACAGATGGGCATGCACATGGGTGCATGTGTACACATGCATAGAACATTTGCACATGTGTAAACACACAAACCTCACATGTAAGCCTGGCACTGTCTGGCTCCCACCTTTTTCCAGACTGATTTCACACACTCACACACTCTGTACCCCTGCCAAATGAGTCATCTCCCACTTCCAAGCCTTTGCCATTCCTAGCAAGCCTTCCCTCCTCGCTTCCTCCTCTTTTGAGGACCCAAAGTTTAGCTTAGGTGCCATTTCCCACCAAAAAATCTTTCCTGCTTGGCCCTGCTGTGGTTCCACATCAATTTTGTATGTAATTAACATAGTCTTAAAAGTCCCAGACTACGGAGAGGTGTGTTGGAACCAGCTCCTTTGGGCTCCTGACAGCTGATTGTTAAATTTTTAGAGGGAGCATTTATACCTTGGAAATTGGCAATTGCTACAAATCAGGGCTCGATCTTTTGTCTTGTTCATTGCCTGGACTTAAGGAAGTAATGGAGATGGTGACACATATACAACCTATTTAAAATTCTGATCTTTTTAGGGAGGGAGAAAATTTGGAGCTCAAAAATTTTTTTAAATGAATGTTAAAAATCCCCTTTACTTGTAATTGGAAAAATAAAATACTATTAAAAATAAAGTACCAAAGAATATAAAAAGAAGGTGATGGAGAAAATATTAATATTGAAAACCTATCATATGCACATTCCTCTCCCCCCAGAGAGCTGGTGGTTAAATGTTTACCAGCATACCACTGCTGGACCAATCAGAATCAAACAATCAGAAGTGTGAATTAGTCAATAATCAGTTTGAGAGGAAGAGTTTTTGACCATTGGACGAAGTCTGATAACTCTATACAGAAAAGACCTTGGGATTGGCGGAAAGAACCAGACAAACCTTTGGGCCTGAGCATAAAATAACCGTCCAGTAGTAAGAGAGACCAGTGGGGGTCCCTCCTCACAGGGCAAGAGTTCCAGGGACTTGGGAGAGAATTGCTGAGGGGGAGGCGGGGAAGGGAGCCTTTCTTTCTCTTTCTGTTTTCCCCCTCCCCCACCTTGTTAGTGGAGAAGCTGGACCAGTATCAGGCAGTGAATGCATTTAGCTGGAGGCAGAGAGGTTGGGCCAGCAGGAGATAACTTCTCCATCCCTGAGTGAATGTTCATCTGAAGAAAGGTCTCTGGTGGGTGGGTGACTTGGGAGCCCTGCCCAGATCAACATCCAAAGGAACTTCCGGAGAGAAAAGGAGCACCTTTGACATGGAGCTGTTAGACCTTGGCTATGTCATCTCTATACATGTACCTCACAATCCTTGTTCTGTAAGTTAGTGTCCACTCCCCACCCTGTGTGCATTTGTGGAATCATGTACCCCAGACTCTTTGAGGGGAAATGTTTTTGTAAATACTATTCTTGGCACTTACAACTGATTGGTTTAAGATTGAATTAGGAGTACAACATAGTGGGTATTGTCACCCTTTTATTTAACTTACATGCAGAGTACATCATGTGAAATGCCAGTGTGCATGAATCAAAAGCCAGAATGAAGATTGCTCGCAGAAATATCAACAATCTCAGATATGCAAGTCATACCACTCTGATGGCAGAAAGTGAAGAGGAATTAAGAAGCCTCCTGATGAGGGCAAAAGAGGAGGGTTAAAAAAACTAAGATCTTGGCAACTGGTCCCACCACTTCCTGGCAAATAGAGGGAGAAGAAATAGAAGCAGGGTCAGATTTTATGGTCTTGGGCTTAAAGATCCCTGCAGACGGTGACTACAGCCATGAAATTAAGAGATACTCGCTCCTTGGAAGGAAAGCCATGGCGGATTTGGACAGCATACACCCTCGCTGACAAAGGTCCCTATGGTCAAAGCTGTTTCCTTCAGTATCAGCATATGGCTGTAGGTGTTGGAGTATGAAGAAAGTTGAGTATCACAGAATCGACATTCTTGAATGGTGGTGCTGGAGAAGACTTTTAGGAGTCTCTTGGAGATCAAGGAGATCAAATCAATTGATACTTAAAGAAATTAATTCAGATTATTCATTGGAAGGGCAATTTAAGCTCAAGTTTAAATATTTTGGCCACGTAATGAGAAGAAGGGACTCATTGGAAAAGACCCTAACACTGGGAAAGATTGAAGGCAAAAGGAGGAGGGGATGGTAGAGGACAGATAGTGTCATAGAAATTTAACGAACAGGAGATAGTGGAAGACAGGAGGGCCTGGCATGCTGTGGTCCGAGGGGTCATGAAGAGTTGGACATGTTTGAATGTTTGGATGACTGAACAACTGAATAACAACAAAAATTCTTGGTATGTCTTCTTAGTAAATACCTTTGCTAAAAAGTGAATTAGGTGTTGTTGATTGTTAGTGGGAAGTACACCAGTGGGGTCCTACAACAGACCATACTAGAAACCCAGTGCCTCAGAACCTGAACAGCCACTCTCTTGGGCCTCTGCCAACTAGGGCCAGTGGGAAAAGTATCTGTTGAGGGGGAAGCCTCCCCCCCCCACACACACACAGAGGATGCTACATGTATATGTCCTGTGTTTCCTTATTTTATCTCCCCAATGGAATGGAAGCTACACGGGAACAACAAATATTTTCCCTTGTTGTCTTTGTATCCTCAGCAGCATACAAGAACAATGTTTGGTTCACTTAGTTAAATGTTCGTTGAATTAGCCTGGGTTTGAATGTTGCTTCAGGCACTGTCACTTAACCTGTCTGAGCCTCAGTTTCCTCATCTGTAAAATGAAGGAGTTGGAATTTGATGACCTAAGGTCCTTTCTAAATCGATGATGCTATTAATTGAATACCGGTATTAGTTGTTCAGTCATGTCTGACTCTTTGGGACATCATTTTAGAGATGAGGAGACTGAGGCAAACAGGATGAAGTGACTTGCCCAGGGTCACACAGCTGGTAAATGTCTGAGGCCAGATTTGAACTGAAGTCTTCCTGACTTCAGGGCTGGTGCTCTCTCTGCCAAGTGGCCTAGCTGCCCAACGGAATCCAGGCATACACTCAAATGTGCAGACACTCATCTACATTCTCACATAGATATATTCATGCGGAGACCCATGCAATATTCACAAACATTCAACTGAAAGCACATTCCTACCCATAGGATATACACTCGTGTACACATCCCTTTCCCTCAGATTCAATACTGTCCTGTCCCCCAAGTCTGTAGAGAGGCCAGAGCAAACCTCCACGGCTTCTGGCCAACTCAGCGTATCAGAGATTTAGAGCTAACAGGGACCTCAAAAAAGGGACCTTAGAGACTAAAATCCCTTAATTTTACAGCTGGAAAAACTGAGGCACAGATAGGTGAAATGACTTACCCAGAGCCATACAGCAAGCAGATAAGGCAGACTTTGAACCTGGGCCTTCCTGACTCTAAGTGTAGTACCCCAAGGTGTGTTTGGGACCCACTCTCCTTTTCAGACAAAAGACTCCTTTCCTGTGCTACTTAGGGGATGGGGTTAAATGGAGAAGTTTGGGATACTGTGGATAAGTCCACTTACCTTGGCAGTATACTCTCCAGGGGTGCACACATTGACAATGAGGTTGACGGAGGCATTGCCAGAGCCGGCTCAGTGTTTGGGAGGCTCTGAAGGAATGTGGGAGGTATTAGAGGTATTAGACTGACTACCAGACTGAAGGTCTCCAGAAGCCATTGTGTTGACCTTGTTGTTGTATTCCTGTGAAACCTGGACAGTCTAACAGCGCCATGCCAGGAAACTGAATCACTTCCATTTCAATTGTTTTAGGGAGATTCTGAAGATCACCTGGTAGGATAAGGAACTGGACCTTGAGGTTCTTTCTCAAATTC